TAGGTAAATTCTCATTGGAGGATTTCTGGAGGGACTAGTTCAATTCTAGGCCAAACCAAGGTTTTGAATCTCTTTGAGCTGGTAGAGAGGTCCAAATTTTCAGATCAAACCTTCCTTAGGTCCAGAACTGAACCACTATGCTCTGTGCAACACAGATTAACCTGGGCTGAACTAAACCTCTTAGCACTCGAACCAGATAAAAGTGTATTAAATTATAACTTCAGTGTATTTTATATAATTTCATTGAAAGCTTTTCTTAGAATATGACTGCATGATAAATCAGTTTTAAAATGAAAATAGCTGTATAAAAAAGAAAATAGAAATGATTTTTCAAATTTTAATGTTTATAAAATCTCTCAATAGGCTTTCTGTTTAACAGTAAACAATTGGAAAAAATGCAAGCAATCCCAAGATTATAGTTCCTTAATAATATGGAACATTAGTATATTTTGATAAAATATTTCATATTCCAAAACTGTGTGTATAAACTTTTAGTATTAGAAGGGTGAAGGGGTTAGTGAGAGGTTAAGGAGATTAATAAATTGATTATTTGTACTAAAATCTCCTGTTACCAGTCTTGTTTTTGTTTTTTAAAAATATTTTTCTATTTATTTATTTTTTGCTGCATTGGGTCTTTGTTGCTGCGCGTGTGTTTTCTCTAGTTGTGGAGAGCGGGGGCTACTCTTCGTTGTGGTGCGCGGGCTTATTGCAGTGGCTTCTCTTGTTGTGGAGCATGGGCTCTAGGTGCACAGGCTTCAGCAGTTGTGGTGCATGAGCTTAGCAGTTGTGGCTTGCAGGCTCTAGAGCGCAGGCTCAGTAGTTGTGGCGCACGGGCTTAGTTGCTCCGCAGCATGTGGGATCTTCCCAGACCAGGGCTTGAACCCATGTCCCCCACATTGGCAGGCGGATTCTTAACCACTGCACCACCAGGGAAGTCCCCTGTTAACAGTTTTGTGATTAATCCCTCAGGAGTTTTTAGATTGGTATACTTTATTCCAAATTTGTATCAAAACCTGGTTCTCAATCTTTTAACAACAAAGCACAAAACAGTTCCTAGGTATTCACCATTGGTCAGTGCTATTATGTTCTTATTTTACAGATGAAGAAGGCAATCACCTGAAAAGTTCAATAATCTGGCCAAGGCATAGCTGGAATTTGTATCCAGGCTGACTGATTTCAGAGCCTATAGCTTTTCCCATGTTTACTTGTTCAGTAGACAACGTGAGAGCAAGCAACAGGATAATTGGCAAGAGAGTGAATGAAAAGTGCTCTTTATCCTATGGCCTATATTTAAACCTGGGCCATCAAGCAAATTTTCAAAAAAATGTTCTTTATTTTCCCAATCTGCTCATGCAAGAAATGTTCTTGCTGCATACCCTTGGGATCCTTTTTTAATTCCCTGAACCATTGTGGGTAGGCTGGACACATTAACAAGTCATAACATGAAATCAGCCGTGACAGGCCTTTATCTGTCCTGTCATCAGTTTCCCAAGTGTCAGAGAGGTGGCTCAATCTGAGCTTCAGTTTATGTTGTCACCAACTAGAGAAAAAAAAAATGTACTGGGAATACTCTGTGCCAATCATTTCAAGATAAAACTCTAGTAATTTCTTTTTAATAACATAATTATCCCATTAGAGAAAGTATTTATAAGTTCAATTCAGTAATGGTGAATAGAATTTTTAATGGACTTTATTTTTTAGAGCAATTTTATGTTCACAGCAAAACTGAGTGGAAAGTACAGAGAGTTCCCACACGCCCCATGCCTCCACACATGAATAGCCTTTCCTATTATCAACATCGCTCACCAGTGTCATACATTTGTGTTTTTTTTTGTTTGGTTTTTTTTGGCCACATTTTGTGGCCTGTGGGATGACCAGGGATTGAACCCCGGGCCCATGGCAGTGAAAGCGTGGAGTCCAAACCACTAGACCACCAGGGAATTCCCACCAGAGTCATACATTTGTGACAACTGATGAAACTACACTGACACATCATTATCACCCAAAGAATAGAATTTTTTTAAATTAATTAATTAATTAATTAATTTTGGGCTGCATTGGGTCTTCGTTTCTGCGCGCGGGCTTTCTTTAGTTGCAGCGAGCGGGGGCTACTCTTCGTTGCGGTGCGCAGGCTTCTCGTTGCGGTGGCTTCTCTTGTTGCAGAGCATGGGGTCTAGGTGCATGGGCTTCAGTAGTTGTGGCTCACGGGCTCTAGAGCGCAGGCTCAGTAGTTGTGGCGCACAGGCTTAGTTGCTCCGGGGCATGTGGGATCTTCCCGGACCAGGGCTCGAACCTGTGTCCCCTGCATTGGCAGACGGATTCTTAACCACTGTGCCACCAGGGAAGCCCCGAATTTTTTTACTTGAAAGATTTAGTCGTGTCATTTCAAATGACCCAACCACAGCTGATGAATTCATTGTGAATATTAAGACTAAGCATTATCAAATGTCACCTTTAGTTAGAAATACATATTTCCAGTATGATATTCAGAGATTTTCAGAAGATTTTGATTTTTTTTTTTGCAATGGCAATAGCTTTATAAATTTTTTGTTGCTGTTTTTCCTCCCTGGTTTTATTTTATTTTATTTAAAAAAATTTTTTTTTGGCCATGCAGCTTGTGGGATTTCAGTTCCCCTACCAGGGACTGAACCCAGGCCATGGCAGTGATAGCCCGGAATTCTAACCACTAGGCCACCAGGGAACTCCCCTCCTCACTGGTTTTAAGTCCCTAGGGGCAGGGAAGAATGGATTGACAGGACACCCAGAAAACAAGGTCTGTGTGCAGACTGACTCTAACCCTGACTAACCCTGAGCCATTCTCATTCTCATTATCATAAGGTAATCAGAGTGAGAGGAAGCACTGTCTTTTCTCCTCTAACACAAGTTGGAAAAACAGAAATTCAAAGTTTTGTTTGGAACCAGCAGAAAATGTTAGAAATAATAACATGAAAAGTTAATAGTATTTATTGATTAAATAGCATTTATACTATGTGCCAGACACTGTGCTTAGTCCTTTGCATATGTTGTCTCATTTAATTCTCACAAGCATTCTGTAAGATAGGTATTATTATTATCTCCATCATAAAAATGGGTAAATAAAGGCTAAGTACCACACAGAAAGTCACACTAAACTGGTGGATTATAGTGCTGGATTTTAATCTCAAGTGTATTAGGGTAGGGTAACTGGTTTAGCAATCCCCAAATCATAGTAATGTGACACAATAAAATGTGTTTCTTGCTGGGGCAAAGTGCAGCGTGGATGGTCCTCATCAGGTGGCTCTCTTAGGCAGCTCACCTCTAAGCAGTGACTCATGTACACAGGCCCCTTCCATCTTACGGCTTAAGCATATTGTAGCTTCAAGATCTCCCCATCATCAGTCAGCCTGGAGTGATGGAAAGAGAGCATGGAAGACTGAATAGGATGTTTCAAGGTCAGACCTGGAAGTAGTGACATCACTTCTGCCCAAATTCCATCAGCTAGAACTCAGTCTCATGGGAATCTAGGATGCAAGGGAACCTGCGAAATGTGGTTTAGCTCCATGTTCTGGAAGGTGAGGCAACCTGTATATTGGTGAGCCCAAGAAATCTCTCCACAGCAGGTTTGTCTGACTCAGGACCCTTAACCACTAGACTCTGCTGTAACTCTAATCTCCACCCCTACTCTTTGACCAGAGGGAAAGTATCAAGTCTCTCTGAGACTTAACACTACATGAAATAAATCCATTTGGGAGTTTAAACAGCAAGAAGAAATGGCATAGTGCAGCCATTATGAGCCTGGGAACTAATGCTAAATCTGATGACCTGTTTATTAACTAGGTGACCTTGGGCACGTTTCTGAATTTCTGCTTTTCCTTATCTATAAATTGAAAATAATATTTTCCTTTGCATGTCTTAGAGATTGCTGTGAGAGTCAAAGGGAACAGTTTGTGTAAACATACTTAGTAAAAGGTAAAATGATACACAAAACACAAATGTCAGAGGTTGTTGGTGTTATTATTTTTACTTCCTAAGTGTCAATATGATTGATATAGGTAATAATCACTCTGTAATATCAGAGAAGAAATCACTGTGAGTTGGGCTGGTCAGGGAATGCTTTACAGGAGAGTGGAATTTGAATCTGATCTAGAAAGATGAATAAGATTTACATAGTAGAGGAGTAAGGAAAAGGCATTCAAGGCAGGGAGTATTGGACCACCAAAGAAGTAGAAGCCAGAATGAACACAGTACTCCTGAAACACTGAAAAAACTGTTTGCTCTTGGAGGCTTCTGAGATTGGGTTGGGCAGGAGCAAGTGAACTTCAGGCTGCTGCCACCTCTGCTTCACTTCAGCCGTCTGTTGAGACATTTCTCCGTGGGTCACTCCCATTTCTGCAAGTCCTGTAAATGAGGCACCAACTGCACTTTGTTCCAGACTACCTTTTCAAGAATGTTTGATGGCAACAGGGTGTCCTTCTGGAGTAAAGGGTAGGCATATTTACTGCCCATTATAAAAGATTCAGGGGAGGTAGCAGCCATCTCCAACCCAGCATCATGACTGTTCTCAGACACCTTATGAAGCCCAAAGTGATCAAAGAGAAGACCAAGAAGTTCATCCGGCACCAGTCAGGCTGATATGTCAAAATTAAGTGTAGCTGGCAGAAACCCAGAGGCATCGATAACAGGGTACAGAGAAGATTCAAGTGCCAGATCTTGATGCCCAATATTGGTCATGGCAGCAACAAGAAAATGAAGCACATGCTGCCTAGTGGCTTCTAGAAGTTTCTGGTCTACAACATCAAAAAGCTGGAAGTGCTGCTGATGTGCAACAAATCTTGCTGAGATGGCTCTCATTTCCTCCAAGAACCTCAAAGGCATTGTGGAAAGAGCAGCCCAGCTGGCCGTGAGTCACTGATCGCAATGCCAGGCTGCACAGTGAAGAAAATGAACAGTTCATGTGCAAGTTTTATTTGTGTTAAATAAAACCATGAAAATTCTGCAAAGTAAAACAAAGATTTTGGCTCCCTAAGCTCAGAGTTCTTCATGTACAGGTGTTAACTGGCCCTATTCCCATTGCCCTATGGAAACTAGGTCTTGGGGAACTGACTTTAAAAAGGCAGATACTCTAGCTACTACTATTGCTATGAGTAATAAACCATTTTTGACTCTGACACAGGAGTCTCATGTCTTTTACCAGCATCCATGAAACTATGACAGGCTAACTTGTTAACTTGCAAGTAGGGTAAAACTTAGACTCTTTACAGTTCTTGACAGAATCTATCCCTAGGAGGGATTTCACTGAACAGTACTACATACCAGGCGGGGTACTAAGTGCTGGGGATACAGAACCAAAAGGCACAGTTCTTGCTTGCAAGGAGCCTCCAGTGTACAAATTAGGAGCTTACTGAGCTTGGTACTAATAGAGTTTCAGAGTAGTTAAATCGCTAAGCTAGTGAATACACACAGAAAAAGGTCAAACTCAGACTAATAAAATTCTAGCCACGATTGCGACTATATCCCAACAACAGGGTGGAGACCATGTGGTTTTTCAGTCCTCTGAGAACAGGTGTATTCTCTATAGATGGCAGAAGCTGAGAAACACAGAGGTACATGGAGCGTTACAGAAGGCTTTAAAACAATACCCTTCAGTCCTCAGTGCCAAGAAAGAAGGTTGCTTTTAGATGGACTTGCCCTTTCTACAACTCTTCCCTAAATAAATTGCCCTGAAGGGTGACAGTAGAAGCATCACTTTCTGGCCCAGAGATCAAAGAGCATCTCTCGTGTGGATACCTGGTGGTGTTGGTAAGGGAATTTCTAACTTTGGGATTGTATCTAGGATGGGAGAGAAGGCAGGTACTATGTTAAATGTGGGCACAACCAAGGAACAGAACTATACTATGAAGGGCGGAAAAGTTGCATATAGATGGAGAAGGATCTAGAGCCCTAAGGCTGTGGTCTCTGAAACAGAATTGGTTTCACATACAGGGCCAAAGAAACTCTGGATTTATGATAGGGGCTCCATCAGAAAAGTGGGATTAGGACTTAGGAAGGGAGTGAGGAAAACTGGCAGGTGAAGTACTTAGTTGACTGTGCATAACAGACAGTGCTAAAGGTGCTAAAACAATTTAATAAATAAACAGGTATTCTAGGCTCATCTGACACATTAGATACAAAGATGTATTATATGGCATTTGGCAAAAATGAGTGCCTGACACTGACACCTAATATGTGACAGCACAAAACCAGGAGCTTTACACAATGTGGCAGGTGGGAGTTTGGTCCTTGGCACTCGAAGCAAGAATCCATTCATTCAACAAAGTGTATTGGCACTGTTCTAGGTGCTAGGGATAAAGCAGTGAACAAGATAGAGAAAAATCCATGCCCCTATTTTGTTCTAAATGAAGTTAAATTTGGCTCTGAGCCACCTAGGTCAAGGGAGATGAGAAATTCAGGATTTGTCATGTTTACTTTAGGGGGAAGACAATTTATTAGGGGTTTCTATACCATCCCAGGGTCCTACACATTCCATAATATTCTGAGATGGGCTCTCTGTTCTTCAGACCACATTAGCTACCACTGTTGGTTGTTCATGATCCAAGTCCTTATGGCCCCTTTTCCAGGCCACCCCAAATATTTACAGGACCTAGGACAAGAATACAAATGGAGGTTCATATACTATATGTTAAATATCTTAAAATTATAAATCCAGCCGAAAAACTGTTAAATAGGTTCTATCATTCTATCTTGACACATACAATTTTGTAACAAGCTGGCCACCATCAGAGGCCCTGGATCCTGCTACTGTGTGGGAGTAGGGCACATGTCCCTGACTCTCTTGAAATCCATAAATGCATCCCCTCTAAACATGGGGAGGTGTTTCCCAAATAGTTTACTGTCTAGTGTTGGTCCACTTCTTCTCCCAACCCTTAATGTCTCCTGCCATCTGCAACAATCTAGCTGGATCACCTTCAGGACTAGACCAAAGGTTATGCTCTGAGTGTCAGACAACTTTTAATTTTGGCCCTGCAACATTAAAGCCATTAACTACTCCTGGAGGCAGACATGGTTGCTTTCCTTGGATCGGGGAGGCAGAAATACTTATAGCAGCCTGAACAAGATATAAATTAACATCTCAAACAGCTGCCCCACCAACTACATATTATCTCATTCATTTCTTTATAACAGTCTTATTAAGGAAATAAAACTGAAGCTCAGGAAGATTAAACAACTTGCTGAATGCCATAAAAGGAAAAGAACAAGAATTCAGTCCCAGAGTTGTCACCATCCACACTTCCATCTACCACACCTAAGAGCTTTGAAGAAATTCAGAAACAAATTTGTGAAACTGCCTGCCAAGGTGTACAAACTTGTATAACTGTTCCATTCACTAGAATAGATCCTGAGATTTGTTTTTGAGACTCCAGAGTACAGCAGTCCCCCTTATCTGTAGGGATATCTTCCAAGACCCGCAGTGGATACCTGAAACCTCAGATAGTACCAAACCCTAGGTATGCTGTTTTTTCCTATACTAACCAGTGGGTAGTGTATACTCTATGGATATGCTGGACAAAGGGATGTTTGCGTCCCAGGTGGATGGAGCAGGATGGCACAAGATTCATCACGCTACTCAGAATGGTGCCCAATTTAAAAGTTATGAATTGTTTATTTCTGGAATTTTCCATTTAATATTTTCCGACAGTGGTTAACCACAGGTAAAAGAAACCATTGATAAGGAAAGACTACTACATTATAAGGGATGCAGTGAGAGAGAAATCAGAGCCTATTAGAGGATGCATTTCTGTTATGTGATCTTGCAGCATTTTATCAAAATGTCGATCAGCTCATTTTGCACTACAGTTTTAGTTCCAAAAGGCCACTAAGAAGCTCAGCAAAGAAGCCAGACATTGTCAAAAATAAAATTAGGTAAATATCACTTGTAAATAAAATAAAATCGATTGTGAAATGCTGTTTGGTCAGTTCTTATTGTTTGCTGTTCTTTTGTTCCCTGATTCCTATTATCCTGCTCAGGGCAGAATGTGTCCTCCTAAAGGGCAGGGCAGAAAGACTCTCCAGTCTTGGTTTTGTTGATGGTTTTATATTGCTCATTATGAGTTTCAAGAATATACACCCAGGGTGAAGAATAAACAAACGTTTAAATCTTGGAACACAAAAGTTTTTTTCCCATTATTTTTATGCAAAAACTCAGACACTATCAAATTCAGATCCTAACTGTCTCAAAGACGCCCTTTTTTAAGGGTGTAGAGGGAGTAGGATAGGGATGGGGTAAATGAAGCAAGCACGGTGCCGGTGCCGTTTCATGAAGCCCTGGCCTTGGCCTGATCCTGTGAGGAGCTCTGGAGCATAAATTATACCTCAGGGTTTATCCAGCCTTGAGGCAAAGGTGGTGGGCTTTCTATTCAGGCACCAATCAATCAATGGCTATGGTTCCCCCAGGGCAATTCTGAATTTCTGCAAATACTGACAAAGCATCTTCTTTGGAAGCAAAGCAAACATAAGTTAGGATATAGACACCAGAAGTGATCAAAAGTGATCAGAGGGTCTGTGAGTGATACACCAACAGTGTCAGCTATGCTAGTGACCATCTATTCTGCAGTTTGTAATTCTTTCACTGTAGGTTTGACTCTTCTGATCAGCAAAGGGTCCATTAACTATCAGTAAGTGGTGGAGAAAGAAATTCTAAGTGATTTGAATTGTTAGAGCAGCGAAGGATTTTTTTTTTTAAGTTCTCCAACAATTTATATATTGTATTTTTTTGGCCGTGCCACACTCTTGTGGGATCTTAGTTCCCCAACCAGGGATTGAATCCAGCCCTGGGCAGTGAGAGCACAGAGTCCTAACCACTGGACTTCCAGGGAATTCCCAAAGGAATTTTTTAAAATCCCCTACTCAGAATTCTAGGGGAGTCAGATTGGCAGGAATATGGTCATATATCCTTGTACAGTGTAAAAAAAAAAAATCCCTTTAGGCAATTGATCACTAAGTATATACCACGTCACCAGCCCTGTAGGGAAGGCAAATTTATCTGACTCAGTCCTTATCTTGAGATGCTTACACTATAGTCGGGTAGGTGAGGTTCACAAGCATGAAACAAGTATAAGCAACATCAACACTGTATAATTAAAGACTGCTGGATTCTGAGAAAAGAGAAATAGAATTCCCTTGGCTACATTTTTTTTCAGATACTCACAGTAGGAGTGGTGAATAAGGTCAGATCAAGCCCATGCATGCATTGATTCCATCAATCTAAGTGACCTCTTTGTGCCGGATGATAAGCATGTTAGGCCTGGGGAGAGAGATGGTAAGATACTGTGATAAATACAATAATAAAGGGTGTACTTTGGGGGATTATTTGGGTGCTATTAGTATTTTTTAGTAGAAAGCTCAATTACTCTATTTCATTGAATTTAAGATGCCATGAATTTTAAGATTTGCCATTATTTTATTTAGCATTAAGAAAGAAAAAACCCTGCTAGTTAAGCATTGTAAGACATATCCCTATTGCAGAGGTGTTATAATGTGAAATAAATGTTCATTTTAGAATTGATGAACTGGGGCTACAAGAGACATGACTTGGCTTAATCCTCTTCTCTGACTATCCTTTGCTTTCAGAGGACAGACAGAAGAGTGCCTGCTTTTCCCTTTCTATAGTTCCTAGTGTTGTCAGTCTCTGCATTTCCTAAGGAAAGAGGGAAAATGATAACAGCAAGGCCTTTGATTTCTTTCTCTTATTTCTAATTAGAAATAGCTCGATAGTGTAATGGAAGCCAATAACAGTATTTGAAATAGTTGCTAATATTGATCAGGTGCTTAATATGGATCCAGGACTGGGCTAATTGCTTTTTACCCATTACTTAATTCGTACTTAATCCATTGGGAAAAGGTATTAATATCTCTATTTTACTGATAGGTAAAATGAGATTAAAAGATGGTAAGCGGCGCCTTTCCGGCTCTGCACGCGGCGCCGGGGGAGAACCCTGGGGGCGCTGTGCTGCAGCCTCTTGGTCCCTGTTATATCTGTTCGAGCCCTGCACTCAGGGGTCCGTCCCTTGCCACCCTGGTACCCTTACGTCTCTCAGCCTCCAGCTTTTGCTCTGAGAGGCCCTGACCGGGCGCCGAGAAGGGGGCGGTGTTGTGTGCTACCGCCCCTCTCCCCCGAAGGCAGCGTCCTGTGCTAAAGAAAGGACTTGAGAGGAAGAACCACCGTAGGATGGTGAGCTGAAAGTGAGAGCCTATAGGCAAAGTGCAAAGGGCAGCTTCCCAAGTTTATTGCTCCCTTGTATCTCCAGAGCAATTAAAACACTGGAGGTGAACTGGAAAGATCTGGAAAGACCTAGATCCCACCACCTCAGACCAGAAGAAATGTCAGCAGCAACCCCTGCTCACCAGAAGGAATCAAGAAAGGACAGCTCTCCTGCTCAAATATTTGTCCTGCTCTTCTTATCATCCCAGTCATCATTGCACAGAGTTTACGTTTAATACCAAATGCTTGTAGGGCTACCAGGTCCCATCTCTTTTTTTTTTTTTTTTTTGCGGTATGCGGGCCTCTCACTGTTGTGGCCTCCCCCGTTGCGGAGCACAGGCTCCTGACGCACAGGCTCAGCGGCCATGGCCCACGGGCCCAGCCGCTCCGCGGCATGTGGGATCTTCCCGGACCGGGGCACGAATCCGTGTTACTGCATCGGCAGGCGGACTCTCAACCTCTGCGCCACCAGGGAAGCCCCCCATCTCTTTTTTAATTGTAATCTATTTGTATCTTTAAAGTGCTTCTCTTATAGACAATACAGGTATGCACTGCTTTTTGAAAGTTTGCTTTACCTCCTTCACTTTGATGAAAGACCTACATTGGTACCTGTTGTCGCTAAATGAAAGAAATCTGAAGAGGATTTTCACTTTTACGAAAAAAGGTGAAAACCGAAAATAACTTTCAGTGTTTGTTGTGCAGTGAGCTGCTTTAGAGGTGGTGCAAACCCTGAGCATCAAGAACGGCACCTCCAAGCTCCTTCCCTGGGAACTACACTCAGCATCCCAGCATTAGGCCGCCATAGCTTTGAGCATCTGTGCTTTATCTTGATTTATTTTGTGCATCTATTAACAAGATGTGTCCTAAGTAATTGCTTTTTTGCTTTATGCCATTTTGGCTTACAAAAGTTTTCACAGGAATCCTCCACTTTTGGATAGTGGGGGAGACTTGTATATGGTTATTACTTTTTCATACAAATTAACAACCTGTGTCTTTTAACTGGAGTCCATTTACACTTAATGTAATTACTGATATGGTTGGATTTAAATATGTCATCTTGGTATTTGTTTTCTAATTGTTCCATCTGATCTTTAGTTTCTCCTTCCTTTCCTGCCTTCTTTTGGGTGAATAGAATATTTTTAGCTATGCTTCTTTGTGTTATTTCACATAAAAGAACTACTTATCCATAAAAAAATTTTTTTAAGTAAAAAATAAAATAGAATAAAAGATGGTAAGCAATTTGCCTGAGGTCACACAGCTACTAAGTATCTGAGCTGAGATTGGAATGCAGGTTTGCCTACCAGGCAAGTTTTTAACCACTATGCCTGTACGTGACTTGATAAGACCTGATTTCCTGCAAAGGAAAAGAATTAAGACAGTTTCAGTCAGCGTTTACCAGAAACATCTTTTCTCAAGGATCTTTTAGAAAGCAAAACATGGTTATACAGACTAAAAGAAGACTGAGTGACCTATCTTAAACTATGACTATATTTCTGATGTCACTATTTTATAACTAGTCTTTATACAGTCTTTGCGAATTATATGCTGGATAATGAATTTTAAATTGTATGTCTAAGTAGAATAAGAACTCTATAATTAGTGGGTTATATTTAAGTGACCACAAAATAGATAAGGTGCACAATTAAAGAGTACATTTCTTCCAACCCCCTAATTTGTGTTAGAATATTCAACTGCCATCCTCTATGTGCAGGCATGAATTTTGATCCAGTAGCAATAAAGTCAGGCCCAGAAGTTTGCAGATTCAGAATTATTTATCAGCTAGTAGTATTACTTAACCCATATTTGACAAAACTGTTTATGTTCACAGACAATTTTGGGTTTTATCTGAATTTAGAAGAGTTTGGAGATTAGCCTGATTAACCTGAGGTAATGGGTAAAATTTTAGGTGAGAAATGTCATTTTGCTAGCATCTTAATGGGTTTGTCTGATCACCCTATAAACTGAACCAGCAATTCTCACAATTTTGGGTCTTGGGACAACTTTACACTCTGAACAATATTGAGAACACCAAAGTTTTTGTTAGTGTAGATTTTATCTATCACTATTTTCCATATTAGAAATTAGAGAAAATATTAAAATACTTACTAATTCATTTAAAATTATAATAATAATCCTATTACATGTTAATGTAACAGGGAAGAGCCAAATCTTACTACATGTTGGATCTGTTTCTTTTATTTAACCTTTGCTTCCCGTTGCTTTTCTTCACTGAAAGAAGAAAAGCAACGGGAAGCTTGCTTATGTATTATGTGTCGGGGAACCCTGCCCCTCTGCCTGAATGTTAAGCCAAAGTGCCTTTGTTTAGGGAAACATCTGGACCCTGTCCACCTGTGGATGGCTGTGAGAAAGAAGAAATTAACACATCCCCTCCCTGAGGCTGGCCATTCCAGGGGATATTTGCAAAACTTATGGCCTTTTTACTTTACTTCCTCATCTCCTCCCCCTCTCTGTGCTATAAAAGAAACTGGCATCCAAACCCCATAAGATGGTTTTTAGGAGACACTAGTCTGCCATCTTGCTGGCTTTCTGAATAAAGTTGTATTCCTTGCCTCAGCACCTCCTCTCTGATTCATTGGCCTGTCATGTGGCGAGCAGAGAGAGCTTGGACTTGGTAACATTAACATAAATAATATATTTTATGAAAATAACTATATTTTTGGAGACAAATTTGTCAGACAAAAATATGTCTGATTTAATAGAAGAGAGTAGAATTCTCCTTGCTGCTTCTGAATTCAGTCTTTTGTGATAACATATGTCATATGACCTTTGCAGGACTCCAATATTTACTCATGAGAGAATGAAGGTAAAAAAAACACAAATAACATCTTCGTATTGCTATGAAAATAATTTTGACCTTATGAGTTTCCTGTAAAGGTACTGGTGACCTCCAAGGGTCCCCAGATCACACTTTAAGAACCACTGAACTGGAAAAATGGGTTTTTCAGAGTTCAGAGCTACAAAATAAAGAGCTAAAACAATATCAGATACTTTCTAATGACCAATATTCTTTAAAAATTTTTGTCAACATTTTTTCTTTTTTTATTGTGGTAAAATATATATTACATAAAGTTTATCATTCTAACCATTTCTAAGTATATAGTTCAGTGGTTTTACATACATTTACATTATTGTGAACCATCACCACCATCCATCTCCAGAATTTTCTCATCTTCCCAAACTGAAACTTTGTACTCATTAAACAAGAACGCCTCACTTTCCCTTTTCCCCAGACCCTGGCAACCACGGTTCTACTTTCTGTCTCTAAATTTGACTATTTCTAGGTACCTCTTTTAAGTGGAATCATACATTATTTGTCTTTTTGTGACTAGCTTATTTCACTTTCACTTAGCACCGTGTTTTCAAGGTTGATCCATATTAAAGCATGTGTCAGAATTTCTTTTTTTTTTTTTTTTTTTTTAGTATTTAATTATTTGGCTGCATTGGGTCTTAGTTGCAGCATGTGGAATCTTTAGTTGCGGCATACGGGATTTTTTAGTTATGGCATGTGAACTCTTAGTTGCGGCATGTGGGTTCTAGTTCCCTGACCCAGGGATCGCACCTGGGCCCCCTGCATTGGGAGTGCAGAGTCTTAGCCACTGGACCACCAGGGAAGTCCCAGAATTTCATTTCTTTTTAAAGCTGAATAATATTCCATTGCATGTATATACCACATTTTTAAAAAATCCATTCATTTGTTGATAGACATTATGGGTTGCTTTCACCTTTTAGCCATTGTGGATAATGCTGTTGTTACAGGGAAGAACAAAATCTGGCTACATGTCAGATCTGTTTCTTTTACTTTAACCTTTGCTTCCCATTGCTTTTGTTCACTAAAAGGATACTGTCTATACATAATGGCCTGCCTCGGGGAACCCTGCCCCTCTGCCTGAATGTTAAGTCAAAGTGCCTATATCCAGGGAAACATCCAAGCCCTGTCCACCTGTGAATGGCTACAAGAAAGAAGAAATTAACACATCCCCTCCCTGAGGCTGGCCATTCCAGGAGATATTGGCAAGACTTAT